GCTCGAGCGGATTCTCCTACGCTCGAGCGCATCTCAGTTTGTTCGCACGCAGTTTTTGGTTAGTCCGCTCGAGCGGGCTGTGTTGAGCTCGAGCGGACCGCGCGATCCAGATTTCCAGATTTGATTAAAGAGTTGGTTTTCTTCTGAATCTAGGATTACTTTTGGTTCTCTATAAATACTTGGTTTTCTTCCAAAACTAAGGGATTGATGGGACTTCTCCAGATCTTATTTTTGGATCTTAAGGTTTAGATCTGGAGAGATTTTGCTAGTTTCTTTGATGTTTTGATTGAGTCTTCAACTCATGTTCTAAAGAGAGTACGTCAAAGGTTGTGTTTTGTTCTACAAAAGAGAGTGTTGTTCTTCAGTTGTGTATTCTGAAGAATTCGAGCCCGAAGCTGTGGTGGAATCCAGAGTGGCTCATCAGAAAGACAATTTTGTGGTGAAGATGGGGTTGGAAGAGGCACATAAAGGTTGGTTTAATTAGGCGTTGTGGATTCGCTAGGTAATTGAGAGTATACCTGTGTAATTCCTTTAATTCTTCTTAGTGGATTGTCTTGTGGCTTGTTGCCCGTGGTTTTTTGATCACAGTTGGAGGTGTCCAATTGTGATTTTTTCCACGTAAAATCGTTGTGTCTCTTTGTCTTGATTGTTTGATTGGGATTGTTATATTCTGCTTAAAATTGATACATAATCACAAATCAACATCTAGGGGATTTCTAGATTTTTCAAATATGTTGATTTGCTTAATAACAGTAAAAATTTACTTTGAATCATAATAAATTTTACTCTGATTCAGAGTAAAATTTTACTCTTTTTTTTTATTGCAAAGTAAAATTAATTCTGAGTAAAATTTTACTCTTTTTTTTGTATTGCAAAGTAAAATTAATTCAGAGTAAAATTTTACTCTGAAACAAGCTGTGATGATGGCTTTATAGGAGAGTGTTGTATCATGAATCAGAGTAAAATTTTATTGTTCGAAGAACAAAGCATCATGAGAAGAAGAAAGAGAAATAGGGAGACATAGTTCAAAAATAGAGAATCATGAGAAGATGAAGAAGAAGAAGAAAAAGAGAGAGAGAAATGATGAGTGATACAAACACACATAGAGAGAGCATGAACCATTAGAAAGATCTCAGGTTTGCAAATCATCATGAATCGTCATTTTTCGGCGACGACGACTGTAAATGATCTCAGATCTCAGATTATGGACGTGACGAGTAACGATAGCAATGAAGACGGTAGAGAAAGAGTTCCACGGTGAGCACCGGTGGAGAGCGGTGATGGCGCCGATGAAAAGCAACAGTGATAAGAGCGAGACAGAGAAAAGAGAGATTGAGATGAGAAAGAGTAATTGTAATTTGATACACACACATATTTATATGTATATATATATATATTAGGATATTATAGTAAAAGAAACAAGTTTTAAAATATTATGAAATTTTGAAAGAATCTATACAATTCTTGTCAGTTTAAAAGACAAATTAGATACTGAGAGGTCTATCACCAAATTCCTCTCTTTAATGTTTTATTTATATTTTTTTTGACTTTTTAATTAATCTATAACAATATCTATATAAATGACTTTGACTGCAAACTTTCTTACGGGTTTTGGGTGGCTATTGTGCATCCAGGACCATTATAATATTGTAACTGTTTATATTTTAAAGTGTATAAAGTAGAATATACTTATATAAATAACAAAAATGATTGAGACTTCCTTTTTTTAGAGACCTCCCCAATCTCATTTAGATTTCAACCATTGATGGTGTGGGCCTCATACATACATGAGTGGATTCTACATATACATCAATGGTTGAGATCTAAAGGAGGTTGTAGGGGTCTACAAAAAAAAGGGAGTCCCAACGTTTTTCTAAAAATAAAGTTGATAGGATATTAATAGTTTTTTTTATCAAATCACATTTGTATATAAAAAAAATGAATGGTAAGTGTAATTTAAAACATAAAACTAAATATTAATGTGATTTAATGAAAAAAAAATTAATATTCAATTAATTTAATTTTTTTATGAATATATTTTACTTGATATATTTTAAAATATATATTAAAAAAAAAAACACATAATAGTAGTTATTGCTCACTGTCACCCCAAACCCCTACTTTTTACTAATTGAATTGATAGCAACTAATAAAGCATATCAAAAGGTCATGTCCATTAGAGTATCTTTAATATTGTTAAAAGCATTTATAATGAAATAGTTAAAATTATTTATTAAAATATATTATAGAATAAAAAATAATAAAAATAGACCGCTAGACCTAATTTTGTTAAGATCAAAAAGATTTGGGTGAGAAAACTTGACTTGTGTTAATTTGTTTATTTGTTTTAGCTTTTTGTGTATTGTTTTTTAATAAAAAAAAAATGTGTGCTTGTTCATTTTTTTTGTCATGCTTTATTTTTGAAAAAAAGAAAAAAAAAAAAAATCCCAAAAAGATTTTCTTAGTATGGTTTTGCAAGCTTGAAATTTTTGAGTGGTCCTTGGTACATATTGGAATTGATGAGAAAACCTATTACATGTTAATATGTGTGTGCTTTCTGTGATCATTATTCATTTTGGAGTGTGTGTTCTTTGATTAATATGTCTCATTCTGTACACACTCTTGGATTAGCAAATTTTGGAGTCTTCCGCCTTAGTGATTATTTTTTCTCTATGGACTTCTGTCATTGTATCTTTTGCTTTTCTAGAGGAATTGACCTATACTAGCATATCATGGGTGATGTTGAGTCTCTTAACCACCTACCATCCTTGTGCATCTCCATGGCTTTCCCCTTAATTCTTTGTAGTCCAGCCATGAGGAAAAGGCTACCTCAAAGTCACCAACCAGGCCATCCTTATTATATCCATGCTTCTCTGGTTCGGTTTCCATACTCTTGAGCGTGTCAGCCACCAATGATTGTGCAAAAGAAAAAGAAAAAAAGAAAAAGAAAAAGAAAAAGGAAAAATATGCAAAAGAAAGAAAGAAAAAAAAGGAAAAGATTCATTGAATGAGGGGGAGCCTCCGCCTTTACTCACCAAATACCCCTTGTTTCCTAGTGGTTTGACTTTCCTTTGTCATGCTTAAGATTCTCTTGTTGGAGGTCCAACTTTCAGATCACTACTAGGATTGAATCTAGTGTTTGTCGAACTCCAAGAGTCACACACACACTTTTTATCATGGGATCTATGCTTTTCACATAATGCATCATTTTTTTTCATGAGGAATTTTCTACAGACTGTGCACATTGTGTTTTCTTGTAATGGTGCTTCTTGGATAATCTTATGTGTTTTTAAGGTACTAATCTGAAATTCCTTGCTTACTCCACCATATTATTTTTTATCGTTTTCTTTTTGTTCACTGTTTTCAGTGTTTGTGGTTGCTTTTAGTGAGGGGGAGTTTGGTTCATCTTGTTTTGGCTTGGTAAGGGAGTTTGGTTTCTCATTGCAAGAGTTGTTTAGCATGTACACTTTGTTTTGTTTGGTAAGGGAGATTGGCTATATGTTTTGCATGTTGCTATGCACTATTTGCCCTTTTTGTATGTTCATGGTCTTTACATCGTCATAACATTGCTTGTGTGGTTTATAATCTTGTTTTTGTTGTTTGAGAGTTGTTTTTCATGAGTCTTAGTTTTCATCTATTCATGTTTTCCATCTCATGTTTCAAGATAATCGTGTCATATGTCTATTACTTTTTCATATACTCTTGTGGGACTAATAGTTGTTTTGGAGATTGTGGCACTAATAACTGTTTTGCAGATCATGACCTTGAGAAAGAAGTTGGTTTTGTTGGCTGTAATGGGTTGGGGTGTTTAGGATTTTATTTGTTAGGTGTGTTTTGCCACGGCATTGCCAAAGGGGGAGATTGTTAGGTTTTATTCTTGGCAACCCCGTTTGACAAAACTCCTTTCAGGTGTATTTTTTTTCGCACTTTTATTTCAGTGAGGCTATGAGTGTTTAGATGCGAATCCAACCCGAATTGTGCTTTTCAGAGAAGGTACTACCTATGTTGTCAAATCCGGAGACAAAACATTGTGTTGATTCAATTGTAATTTTTTGTGTTTTTGTTCTGTCCGCTCGAGCGGAGCCTTGTGAGCTCGAGCGTAGATTAGCAGGTCTCAGTATTTTGTCAGGGCAAGCAAAAAATACTGGTGGGTGTGATTTTACGCTCGAGCGGATTCTCCTACGCTTGAGCGCATCTCAGTTTGTTCGCACGCAGTTTTTGGTCAGTCCGCTCGAGCGGGCTGTGTTGAGCTCGAGCGGACCGCGCGATCCCAGATTTCCAGATTTGATTAAAGAGTTGGTTTTCTTCTGAATCTAGGATTACTTTTGGTTCTCTATAAATACTTGGTTTTCTCCCAAAACTAAGAGTCCGCTCGAGCGGGCTGTGTTGAGCTCGAGCGGAGATCGCGGGACAGATTCTATAAATTCGCGTGTTGGGTCAGATTTTAGGATAACTTCTCCAGATCTTCTTTTTGGTTTCTAGGGTTTATATCTGGGGATACTTTGGGAGTTTTCTTTGATGTTTTTATTGAGTATTCAACTCATGATCTAAAGAGAGTACATCAAAGGTTTGTTTGTTATACACAAAAGAGAGAGTTATTCTTCAGTTGTAGATTCTGAAGAATTCGAGCCTGAAGCTTTGGTGGAATCCGGAGTGGCTCATCAGAAAGACAATTCCGTGGTGAAGATGGGGTTGGAAGAGGCACATAAAGGTTGGTTCAATTAGGCGTTGTGGATTCGCTAGATAATTGAGAGTATACCTATGTAATTCCTTTAATTATTCTTAGTGGATTGTCTTGTGGCTGTTGCCCGTGGTTTTTTGATCACAGTTGGAGGTGTCCAATTGTGGTTTTTTCCACGTTAAATCGTTTTGTCTCTTTGTCTTGATTGTTTGATTGGGATTGTTATATTCTGCTTAAAATTGATACATAATCACAAATCAACATCTAGGGGATTTCTAGATTTTTCAAAAGTGATAAAACACTGATGGAGCAGACAATTTATAGAAAATTTATCAACTTATATTCTGTTTTACGTTTATTTTTTATTTAAATTCCACTCAGCAGTGCACTACCTAGTTGTCCATTCTAATGCCAAAAATTCCTAATGGATCATTTCAAATTTCCATTGGTGGTGGAAACTCACTCCATTTTATTATATCTGATCTGTGGTGATGAGACAAGTTTAAGGGCATGTTGTGATGGATATCTTTTAAAATTATTCTTTCTCCCCGCTTTTCCTCATTTGATTGAATCATGGCTTTCATTATGTTTGAGTTCACACTCAAATCTTTTATTAACTGCCAGTTCCTCATTGAGTTTTATTAAAATCATTTGGTTTTTACAAGTAATATTGTAGGACATCTTGCAAAGAAAGTATCACGCCATTTTTGGAATGTGTGAGAAAGGGACATACTAGACTTCTTTCCATATGGATAATTAGTGAGTGGTATGCCCTGTGTGGTGGAGAGTCACACAAATTTGGAAAGAATTAATTAGAAAACCATTTTTTTGCTGTGTTGTGGTCATTGTGGAGAGTTAGGGATGATTTAATTTTCCAAAGTATTAACCCTAGGAAATTGGAATTAGTTGATTTGATTATAAGTAGGGGTTTCTTTTTGTTTGAAAGCCTATGCTTCCATGATATATTACTTAGTGATTTTATGATGAAACTTAAATTGAAAAAATATAAAACAAAACAATCACACAAGCACACAATGATTTACGTGGTTCAGCTATAAGCCTACTTCCACGGGCGAAAAAGGACAGAGGAGTTTCACTATGAATGTAGAGAATACAATGAGCCCTCCCTCTCACTATAACCTCTTTATACATAGGATTATCTGGGTCGAGTTTGAGACATACTCAAAACAGATGACTTAAAGCAACAACAATCATGCTCCATTAAAACCTCAATTGAAAATCTCAATGGCAATGTTGGCGTTTGGTATGGTATCTCTGAAATCCTCTTGATACCCCAATACCGCTCCAAAGGCATCCAATCGCAAACTTGTTGTAGACAGCCCTTCTTTGGCATCTTCCTCTAATCTTTTCTGCACTTTACAAGCGTGAAATTCACCGAAGTCTTCAAAAACAATATCATCCGAATGTCTTGTGGCCATGCAACTATTAGGTACTTATCCATTTGATGCTGAATGTGACGTGAGCAAATAAGGTTTGGGAAGATTGAATGTACTCAAGAATGATGAATGAAGAATACCTTGTGCTGCTTTTGGATGAACAACTATGTTTCTTTCCTCTCTGATACTCCTGGTGAAAACACCATCTGCAGCCGAAACAAAGGGATGGCCTAGTAGCATATCGGCAGTCCACCGTGACTTCGGATCCCTAACCAAGCACTTCTTCAGAAAATCTTCGGCCTCTTCTGAGAACCCACTCGGAATTTCAGGTATTTCTTGTGTACTTGCTATTTTAAACAAGATAGTTACTCTTTCTGTATTCCGGTCGCACTTCCAAGGTTCTTTTCCAGTCAATAACTCCAAAATCGTGCACCCTAATGCCCATATGTCGGCTTCTGGTTCATAATCTTCATGGCGAATGGACTCCGGGGCCATATACAGTGTAGTGCCCCTGATTCCAAGCTTTCTTCCTTTTTCTGTCAAGCTCTCTCCAGCCTTCTTTACAAGCCCTAGGTCAGCAATCTTTGCAGTTCTTTCTTGGACCGTATTCATCTTTTCATTCAAATCCATTGACAAGTCATCCACAAGCAATATGTTCTGAGGCTTGATATTGTAGTGAATATAACCCTTTTTGTGAATGTAACTTAGACCCAGAAGTACAGAATTTGTGTATCGTCTAACCTCTGTCTTGGGTAGTCCTCTGGTGTAACTCTGAATGCGATCAACCAAACTTCCACCAGCAGCATACTCCAACAACATGTTGTACTATTGCTCTCCGTCTTCGATCGTAACGTCATCCCCAAAACAACGAAGAATGTGAGGACAGTCTTCAAACTGACTGAACAACTCTCTTTCAATGGAAAGCAATTGGGAGTTGTTGACAGGGGCAGATTTGGTAGCCATGAGAGAAGGTAGTAGTTCATTACTTCTTGGTGGTGAAACAACTGCAGCCAGGTACACCATTGCAGAACCTGCCTTTCCCAGTATTTTCCCTCTCCTTCACATCATTACACTCCAAGAAAACTCTCTCTCTCTCTCTCTCCCTGCAAAACTCTCTCTTTCACTCTCAAAGAAACAAACTTCACTCACTCTCTAGAATTTGTTGATAAGTGATAATGTTAACTGTAATCTATATATATAAGGTTTTGAGTTGCTTGGGATGGAAGCATTATTACGAGATTTGAAATTGGAAGTTGTTTACTTGTTTGTTCTCTAAGGAGTTGAATCCTTAGAGGATTCTATTAGCTCTAGACTTTTAATTTAGTTTGGATTGGATTTCTATGTTAATACATTATTAGGGGTGAGCATGGTCCGGATTGGACCGGATTGGGGTAAAACCAGGACCAATCCGTTATCTACGGTTCCTGAAAAATTGAAACCAGTCCAATCCGTTTGAATCATGGAACCAATCCGAACCAATCCATTTAAATACGGATTGGATCGGTTTAGGACCACGGATTCACATAATTAAATAACAAATATATATATATATATATAACACTTTAATTTCATAAAAATATAAACATAGCGCTATATCAGTTCCATAATAGCAACATGTTTTTTTATAATAGTGACACACTGCTCTTGAATTTAAACAACCATAAGAAAATACAAACAAAAGTAATAAAATAAGATATTATACGGTTTTAGGTTTGAGTTTAGATTTTATATAGAATTAGAGAAGATACTATGGGGGAGGATGTATAATAAAAATATAGACTATTTGTATACGGTCCGGATCGGTTCCAATCCGAAATCGTGGGGTTCAATCCAGAACCAATCCGTGGACTACGGATTTTTAATTCTTCAATCCGGAACCGAACCGCGGATTCAAAAAACCAATCCAAACCTATCGGATTGGACTGGACTGGATCGGATTACGGATTTCACGGATTCCTTGCACAGCCCTATACATTATAGACTTTTAATTTAGTTTGGATTGGATTTCTGTGCTAATACATTTGGGTTAACTTCTGAATTTCCTAAAATAAGATTTGATTTATTTGTAAGTATTTTTTATAATAAAAATATGAACATGTTTTACGCATATTTATTAAAAAATTGAACTTAGGTAAAAAATTATATATTTATGTTAACACTATGAAATGAATAGTTATATATATTTATGTATAAAAAAATTATCTAAGATAGAATCACCTTAAATTATAGGTCATATTCTAGTCTTAATTTTACACATAATCTAAAAAATTGATAAGCTAATTAGTGAAAACATTTGATAATAATAAATTTAAATATTGTGTATAAATTATGTTTATCAGTTATTGACTTGTATGAGTTAGTTTGGGGATTGTAATTCTAGTCGATTTTTTTTTTTTACATGAATATTAGGGTATGTTTATTTATGAAAGATTATCCAAGCTTATTTAAATATGAACCAAGCTTATTTATGAAAGATTGGTCCATATTTAATTTTTTAATCTTTTTAGTAAGCTTGATTCATATTTAATTTTAAATAAATTATTAGCCTTTATTTAATCTTGTTCAATAATTTATATTAATTTCCACTTAATCTTTCCTAACTTTAATTTTAATTAATAGTCAATAAATAATTTTTCTCAATTTCATAATTTTGGTTAAAATTTGAAGGAGAGATCTTAAAATTAAGATTAGGAAAAATTAAGTGCAATTAATATAAATTATTGAACAAATTAAATTTAATTTAAAATGGCAAATTATATTTAGACAAATAATATTATGACACATCATTATTAATGATATAAAATTTCAAAAATCTAAGAAAAATAGATGGGAAGTTTAAGCAATAAAGACTTAACAATATTTTGCAATTATATACCATATAAAAAAAAATTTAAAATGGGATTTAATTTTCGTATATCAATAATGCTTGAGGCCTCGAATTTGCCTCGAATTTCAATTTTTTTTTTTTTTTGGTTATGTGTAGGGGTGTGCCAAAAAATTAGACATCCGCACCAACTCATTGTACAAAATTATATTGAATTAACAAATTTTAACCAGCAGCCTAACTAATCAGTCAATGAGGTTGGACTGGTTGAGTGATAAAATTGATTGATCAGTTAAACTGTTAGTTAAATTTTGTTAATTTCATATAATTTTGTACAATGAGTTGGTGCAAAATGCCTAATTTTTTGGCACAATACATAACCACTCTTAAAATAATTAAAAAAAAACTAATTAACACAGCCCCAAAAAAAAAAAAAAAACAAGAATTTGAGCCAAATTCGAGGCCTCTAGCACTGCTGTTCTTATATATATGTGATTTAATGATGAACCGTCGACTGGTTTTGGTTTCAATTCGAGCCTCAAATCCACTTGAGCTAAAAAATCGGCCTCTTTTAAAAAAAAAACCAATCAACAATGCTAGGTAGTTTAAAATTTTGTGGCTCAAATGACTCAAATCACTAAAAACGACGTCGTTTTGAGTGTAAATGAGTGTAAAACGACGTCGTTTTGACAGATTTGAGCAATTTGAGTCACAAAATTTTGAGTTACCAAATATTTTCCAAAACCAATAAAACCAGCGATTAAATTGGCGCCAATTTGTTCGAGCCAGTCCGATTTGTCATATAAGCTGAAATTTTGAAAAATGTATTCCCCAAGGCTTAAACTCAAGAACTAAAGCATAAGAGACATTGCTAACCACTAAGAGCATCTCCAATGGTAATAGGCATTTTACCTATCTAAATATTACTATAAAGTATACATTTTATTTTGCCTATCAACGATTTCATGTTTCTGCCCCAACCATGCTCTTTATTTTAGCTATTCATCCAAATACTATTAACTTTATAGAATGCCACGTCAGCAAATATATATGTGATTTAATGATGGACCGTCGACTGGTTTTGGTTTCAATTCGAGCCTCAAATCCACTTGAGCTAAAAAATCGGCCTCTTTTAAAAAAAAACCAATCAACAATGCTAGGTAGTTCAAAATTTTGTGGCTCAAATGACTCAAATCACTAAAAACGACGTCGTTTTGAGTGTAAATGAGTGTAAAACGACGTCGTTTTGACAGATTTGAGCAATTTGAGTCACAAAATTTTGAGTTACCAAATATTTTCCAAAACCAATAAAACCAGCGATTAAATTGGCGCCAATTTGTTCGAGCCAGTCCGATTTGTCATATAAGGTGAAATTTTGAAAAATGTATTCCCCAAGGCTTAAACTCAAGAACTAAAGCATAAGAGACATTGCTAACCACTAAGAGCAACTACAACCACACTTTATTTTTCACTAGCTAAAGTATAAAAAAAGTGTACTCTTTATTTTACCTAATTAGTTTAGTTATTGTGTGTTCCAACCATACTCTTTATTTTAACTAGTCATTCAAACTACCCTAACCAGTTTTTAAAATAAAAAATGCTATCTATATACATTGTTGTTTTTTTCATACAATGCCACATACGCACCAAATGCTAATACGGTTGCCAATGTGACATTTGCGATAATATTTTTAAAAATAATATTTTTTAATATTAGTTTTACAAAAATTATTAAAAATAATTTTTAACGAATATTTAATTTCTTTTATAAAATGTATAGTATGTGAATATATACCAATATATGAATTTTGTGGAACCATTGGAAGGGGAAGGAAGGGAAAAAATAAAAGAAAACAATAAAGAATTTTTTAAAAAATAACAATACAAAGGAAGTTCTTCAATAATTGTAATTAATCAAATTAAGAACAGAAAGAACACAAATTAACTAATCGAAAACCTTACAAAGGTCAATGAATAAAATAAGGGGAAAAAAAAAAACATAAATAGCAAAGTTAGGAATAATCTTCAAAATAAATAAACTATTTCCAATTCAAGTTGTTACAAATCTCCATGTTAATGCCACAAATGCTCAACTAGGTTTACTTGGAGTTTAGAATGAGTTTGTCTATCTCTGATGCGATGATGATTTTGAATGAATTCATAAAGTTCGAGTGTGTGCTCGTGAGACTTTCATCGATTGCATCATAATTACAATCTATATTTTGTTCATTTCACTCATCCTCAACAATCATGTTATGCAATATTATACATGCCTTCATTATAACTTCAAGGGTTTCAACTTTCCAAAAATGTGCAGGTTCTTGCACAATTGCAAAACGTGCTTGGAGCACTCCAAATGCTCATTCGACATCCTTCCTTGCCGACTCTTGAGCTTTAGCAAAATGTATTTGCTTATTGGCTCATGGAGATGGGATTGTTTTAACGAATGCTGACCATTGAGGATATATACCATCAACGAGATAATATCCCATTGTATAGTCATGTCCATTGATTGAGTAATTAACTTCAGGAGCACGCCCTTCAGAAAGGAGAGAAAATAAAGAATAACGTTCTAGCACATTGATGCCATTATGAGATCCCGATAATCCAAAAAATGCATGTCATATCCATAGATCATAGGAAGCATTGCTTTTAAAATAATAGTTGGTTCATAGATGTGACCACAATACATACCTTTCCATGCAGTAAGACAATTCTTCCACTTTCAATGCATACAGTCAATGCTCCCCAATATTCCAGGAAACCCATGATTTTTCCCCACTGCTAGTAATTTAGCAATGTCATCTTTGTTAGGTGTCCTTAAGTACACATCTAAAAAAATTGCAATCACTACCTCAACAAACCTTTGTAGACTTTTTATTGCAGTGTTTTATCTAATTCTCACATAATCATCTACAGAATCTGCCGCTACTCCATAAGCGAGCATCCTCATAGCAGCAGTCATCTTTTGAAAGGAAGACAGACCAAGAACTCCAACAACATCTTTTTTCTGGACAAAATAAGGATCATATGCTTTCACCGTAGATAAAATAAGAAGAAAGAGACATCGACTCATTCGGAACCTCCTTCTGAATAAATTGGGAGGATATGTAGGAGTTTCAGAGAAGTAGTCTTGATAAAGTCTCTTGTGGCCTTGAATTCGATTACGATAAATAATTGCATGACCTTGAATGGAACCATGATGTAATTCTAACTGTCTCTTATTATTTAGTCGCTCTTCTTCTGAAGCAGCTATTGTAAATATCTCCAATTCATTATCAGAATCAGAGCCATCAATAATCATATTCATTACACTATTGCGAGCCATGGAAATTAAAAGAGGAATGAAGGTGAGAGATAAACTACTGAAAATAAATATGAGGTTTGTGTTTTCTTCTTAAACTTTGCAAGTTCCTGTCTAACAACTTCAATTTTCTGCAAAATCAAATTTATAAAACATATCAGACAACTTCCAAAATCAAAACACCAGCAACTTACACAATCTGTATTTAATTCATCAACTAATAGAAATGTCTTGTAAATAAGTAGGATTTCAATCCAACATACAAAAAGCAATTATATTTAGCCATGGAGTAATATGTCTCTTCCCTTGGAGTTGCTCTAAGCCACCAATGCTCCTTGTAGAGGCGAGTAGCAGATATTTCGATCCGTCTAAATCAATCGAACTGAATCGATCCGTCATATTTTAGACGGATGCGTGATGGCGAGTGAATGGTTGCGGATTGATTTTTTCCAATTCGTCTAGTTTCGAACGGATGACGGATTTGAGTTTCATTTGGCCGTAACCGAACCACCAAACCGTAAGCACCCCTAATAATTTGTAAGACTTTGTATTTTTAATTTATTTAGATATTTTGTTTATATTTTCAATTGAAAAAGAATTTAGATATTCTGTTGTGTTTTTAATTTGGAAATCCTTTTATCAAATGACAAGTGTTGATATTTGGTATCTTTGTATGAAAAATGTAAGGCTTAATTTTGTTATTTAAAAAAAAATCAAATTAAATAGATTTTAAATATAAAAAGGTAATAAAATAGTTTTGATAATGGATGATTTTTTTTATATGTATTTATTATTGATATTTGACAATTACTTGATAATCTTTTGGTTATGTTGAGTTAGATTGTTAAAAAAAAAAAAAAAAAGTTGACAAATTGTTGTATTATGTTTAAAAATTGTAAAAGTTTAAACCGCCAAACCGATTCGCATCCATTCGCTAATCTGCCAATCTACTCAATCTGTATCCGTCAATTCGGCGGATGGATGCAAATTGATTTTTTTCAATCCGCCAATTTGACAGACGGATGGCGGATTGGAGCTTTTCAGGCCGTAATTGAATCGCGAACACCCCTAACTCCTTAATTAAAAATTAGTAGATATAATCTATTTATTATCTTTTAATCATTTTCTTTCATATACTAATATAATTAATATTTTTACAAGTAGTATCAATACAAAAAATAAATGTATAAATAAATATAATTCATAAATATATATAATGTATATTTAATGCCTATTTTTATTTAATTATATTTTTTATATATTTATTACATAATTATGATGTCACGGTTCGACTTAACGGTTGAGCCAATGATCTATTCACCTAATTTCTTTTCTAGTACATTCACCAATTCAGTTTTTAAAACATTTAAACCTTACTCTGGGGTATGATTATTATAAGGTTAATGTAATTCAAGGATTTGGATTAATAAAGAATCCTTAATGAAAAATTGTAAAATTTTAAATTACTTTGAACTCGTATATGGCTTTGTGAAAGTGATGGTGGGTGTTTAATATCATTTCATGGCATGCCGCTGAAAATTTCACTTGTACCAATTTCAACACTAATCTCATTGTATTCTATGGGTCTAATGGAACGTCTTGTTAGACCATTTCTAATGGTTATTCAAATTTGTCATTAAATTTAATTTAATAATTTTTTTTTTCAACGATTTCATCAAATAGGTATCAAATTTAAGATTTTACTTTTCTTTTATTAAATTGAGGACTAATATACCTTTCATCAAATCGCTGTTCATAACTGTTTGATTTTTACCACCAGATGTCCTTCGGATGACCACCTTAAGGCAAAAATTTGTGAAAAAATTACATTGGTCGGTCAATCTCCCGGATGACCACCTCAAGGTAATAATTTGTGAAAAATTTACACTGGTCGGTCGATCAGCCGGACATCCACTTAGTCGATCGGTGTTCTGATGAAACTTCAAAAACCTCCGTTAGAGCATTTAATATCAAATGAAACTTTTACTCAAATTTAATACACCGTTAGAGATGCTCTTAGGGTTAAAAAATGTGTCTAAAAATTATATAATTATTTTGAGATATGTAAAAAATATATTAAAATAATAAATATTTTAATTTTTTATATTTGTTATTTGACAACACTTAAAGACCTTCATTAATAGGAACCCGGTGGTGTTACATGCACCAATTAATGTACACACTAGTGTACCAACTAGTATTATGTCATTATTACTGACCTCATCTATTATACAAATTATAATATCAAAAACTCCTAAAATTATGTCACATCATCTATTAACTAGCCAGAATAATGTGGCTAAACTTGAGAAAAGTGAAGTTCCAATTGCTCCAAATTTGCGTTTGTTTCACACGTCAAGTAAAACCCAAATCACACAACACTCTCTCTCAAACGATAACCTCGCTTCTTTCTCTTAGCAAACTCTCTCTCTCTCTCCAACGCCGACTAATGATGACACCCATGATCACTAATGAACCGAATTTTTGAGGAAAGAGAAAATAAGCATTAGTGTGTGTGAGAGAGAGGATCGTTTGAGAGAAAGGAAAGAGAAGAGTGCGAGTCTGATTTTGGTTCAAAGTTTGCCACATAATTTTTGGGAGGAGGGGGGAGTTGAGACACATTTTTTGTGTGGATTAAACATGTCACGCCCCCAAAATAATACAATAAAGATAACTCATATGCGGAATAAATATGAGAAGCAACATACTTTTATATATTAGAGTTCACTGTTTAACAACCAGTTAAATGCCATGTAGGCTTACATGTTTCCAAGTCATTGCTTGGTTACACAAATTGAGTCTCGTTCATTACATCTTAAGTCCTTGGCTTTACAAATAACAAACATACACACATAAGGCATAATTAAGAAGCTCTTGCTTCGCAAAACTCCGTCCACGCTATTGCCTTGGAGGAAGCATCTCACCTGTACCTGAAAATGGTATTCCTATATAGGGTGAGCCAACAGCCCAGAAGAAATAATCTAACACAATTTATGAGGTTTGGCAAATGTATAAATACCACGTACATAAACAATACCGATCCTGAAACATCCACAAGACCTGCATATCCATATGCCACTAAGACCAACCTTATTCCATTTTCCTTTAATTTCATTTCCAGTTCATATATATTACTCAATTCATGATTTAAATTCATTATCTTTCAACAATCACAATGAACTACAACTCAATGATTTTTCAATTGTGCAAAACTCACATAAACACTTCAAACCTGCCATTTTACGGATATTTTGTTCGAAGGAATTGACACCCATTTATAAATAAAATTTTGAGTCTTTCACCCAGAACACTCCGGCCAACTTGCTTTAAATGGAGTCCATCCCCTTTCTTCTCCCAAACAAATATACACATGCAATGTATTTATAAACATAATCACATATGGAGTACATCCCATTTCTCCTTTCAATAAACATACATATACAATGTATCTATAATATAGTCATATTCAATGACACTAATAATGGATTAGCATTAAATCGCCTAATTCTCATGTAATTTCTACAACAATCATAGCTATCCTCTGCCGATAGCCCAATGCAATTATTTCTAAAGAGATATTCAATATCAAAATAAATAGTTTATTCAAAACTTTCATAAGTGAGATAATACATATCCAATATCACCATTTATAATTACAACCTTCTAATTTCACATTTTCAATGTTAATCCCAATTATTTATGCAAAATAATAATTTAATCAAAATTAGGGCAAAATCTCCCTTTCACCAAATATCAACCCAAACACCAAAATCAACTATTTTGGCAGAACATGATCTTATATTCAAGCCTCATACTCGTTTACCTTATATTCATAAAAACCCCTCTTTTCATTTCACACCCAAATCCTAGATTTGTCCAAACCATAACCAAATCTCATCATCTATACACAATAGCAAATAACTAAGCTAAAAACCATATTAGAGTGTAGAAAATCCCTACTTCAACTTTGAAGAAGAAACGAGTTGAAACCCCCAAAATCAACGATGCCTAAACTCGATCTCCACCACACACAACGTAGCCCTCGCCTAGATAACCAACTTTGATGAAGGACTTGGATCTAAATCCCAATGGATTTGAAGAAATCAAAGATCTTGTGAGGTTTTTGGTAGGAAATGTAGAGAGAAGGGAGAGGAAATGTTTTTAGAGAAAGAGATATATACAAAAAGTGACATTCAATCAGCCCAAAGAGAGAAGAAAGGGAAAAATTTCGGATCTACCTAACTTCCCGCACCTCCAGTCGCACCTGCCTTTTTAGCAGTGTGCTTCAGCCCCCTGCCCTGTTTTCCGCACTTGCGGCCCTCTCCCGCACTCCAGATCGACCGAGTAGACAAGCAACTTCGAATGCGTTTTGCATTTTTGTTTTGAGGGGCTGCCCCTCAACCCCCGCCAAGGGGCGCTGCTCCATGGACCCCCGCGAGCTGATCGGGCAGCTCGACCCCTGCCAGGCCCAGTTAAAGTGGTAAAACATGAAAGAAGGATTGAAACCGGGATCACTACAAAACATTTCTCTTAAAATTGAAGGTAGATAATTGTGATATCTTACCCTCATAAGACAAAGTGTTGAAGAAGAAAGGGGAAATTCCACCAAATTATCTCTGTGTACATCTTTTCTCAATCCACACATTTAGTAATTTGATTTTTACTTCTTTATCTCAGTCCATACACTTAACATTCCAAATATACTCTCACCTTCTCTATGCACATTCTCTCTTTCTATCCTTTCTCACTCCAAAAACTTTAACCCTAACTACACCAGCTACCAACGACTCAAGTAAAAAGAAAATAAAATTCAATACAGATGTTGAATGCATACCACCAAGAGAGTCGATGAAGCCATAGACATCAAGCATGAGAACTCGATGGACCAGTGCCCTCACTTCTCTTCTTTGTCTCTTCTTCATACTCTAGATCGTCTGTCTCCAACTCAAACCTACACACGAGACACGAATTTCTGGAACCCAGCCATGGCAAAATACAATCCTCATGGTATCCATGCCCACAAG